TACTTCGCAAGATAAATGAAGTAATGGCAGCTAAATATTTCTCGTTGATCGTAAATTCTACTCCCGATATCACAAAGTTTGACCAATTAACAATTGCTATTAGATTCGTTAATTTAGACGGGACTCCAGTAGAAGGATTTTTATGTTTTATTCCATCGGTTGGACATAAAAGTGAAGAAATGGAAGTCGCAATATTAATGAAATTAATTTAATTAAATATCAACATAAATTATTATCGTGGACAATCCTACGACAATGTCAGAAATATGTCAGGTATGTATAATGGTTTACAAGCTCGAATCAAAGAAAAATCAAAAAACGAAATTTTTAGCCCATGGTCAGCACATTCCTTAAATTTGGTTGGTTGCCATGCTGCTGATGTAACTAAGGAAGGTTATACATTTTTTTTTACTTGCCCAAAATATCTATGTATTCTTTTCTGCATCGACATGGCGGTGGGAACAACTTTTAATAAGTTTGAAAAATATACCAAACTCAATGTTTGTAAAAAACTTATGCCCGACGAGATGGTCATCAAGATTCAGTGTTTGTAAGAGTTTTAAAATTGGGTATAAAGGAGTGTTAAATTCATTGAAATCTATAACTTCAAATTTGGATCAGAAAGTTGGTATAAGACATGAAGCAGAATCCATGTATAAAAAAATTGACACGCTCGAATTTTCATTTATGACTGCTCTGTGGACTCCAATATCAGAAAGATTCAACGCGACAAGTAAAAATTTACAACGTATTAATATTGATTTATCTTGTGTTGTGAAATTGTATGAATCTTTAGAAATGTATGTAAAAGATATGAGAAATAGATTCGATAATATATTATTTGAAGCAAAGCAAATTAGTGGGCATGAAATATTTGTTTACAAAGATAAAAGAAATAAACGAAAAAAATGTTTTCATGATCAGTGGCGGATTTAACGGGAAAAAAATGGACATATGCTGCCTGGGCACCTACCCATAAAGACGCTCGGGCCACAGACCCAGTCTTCAATTCACTAATTTTCATTTCAACGAAAAAATTAAAATAAAATAGAAATGGACCACGATTTTGAATATTCTTTTCGATACTGTAAAAACGTTGTCCGGTTTAAGCGTGGCCACCGAGGGAATTTAAAAAATTATGAATATCCTGGAATTTACTTGACTATCATTAAATTGATTTCCCATCGTAAATGTTCAAAAGTTTGAGTAAAACTCGTGGGGTGGCACGTTTTAAAGCTGTGAAAGCCTTAATTCAAAATGTCGAGTGCATTTTAGACTGCCTAGAAAATGAGATATTAAGAGTTGGAGCATCTGGAGATGATATTATGGCTGCTCAGACATTACTATTATCAAATAATTGATTACTTTTTTTTAATTTGTTATGGTGGCATTCAATGCTTGATATATCAAACGATTAATAATTTAAAAAATTTATAAAATTTATTTTGATATATCAATTCTGGGCAACTACAACTACAAAAAAAAATAAATTTATTTGATAATGAATAAAAATTGTATTTCAACAGCATTAACAAAATTAAAAAATCCTAGAAATGAAAAATCTTACAATCATTTTATGGCAAAAGCAAAAACAAATTGGGAAAAAATGGGTTTGGATCATGCGGACTTTCCAATAGTGAGAAATCGGCGAATTAAGAAAATGGCTGGTGAAAAAGCTACTGATTCTTCTTTGGAAACGTTTGATAAACATAAACAATGAAGTTTTCGATACAATATGCAGTAATAAGAATTTTTTGGTTTTTTGATGCCTGAAAATGTACAAAAACTGATAGAAGGTGATTTAGATATCAGTGTTGGTATTTTGATTAAGAAATACACTGATTTATTTACAACTGATCTGAAATATGAGTTGATTAGTTTTATTGATTTATATTTTTCTTAAAATAACGATTTTATTAACAACAATCCACTGAATAACTTAAAATTTATCATTGATAAACATTTGATAGACAGTTTTCCAAAGTTTAGCAGTCTTTTTAGATTATTTCTTACACTCCCTATTAGTACAGCAAGCGCTGAATGAGTAATGAGTTCTTTAAAAAAAATATTAAAAAAAACATCGTTGTGCCACTTTAAGTGAAAAAACTTTCAATGAATTCAGTATATTTTTATCAAAGATCGGTGGCAAGTAAAATAAATCTAGATAGGTACAACTATTAAAATATTTGCTGAAGCCAGATGACAATTTACAATTTTACTTGAATTACCGATTTACATTAGTAATATACTATGTGTTTAACAATATAAATTTTTTTGTTTAAATTTAATAATAATTTTGATAAGGTTATTTAGAAATATATTCAGTTTGGACGATTTAAATATATGTATATATTTTTTTTTTGTTTCAATTCCTATCTAGTTTAACCATAATTTAAGAGGGAAGTCACGAGTTAGTATTCAAGACGATTCATAATTCTTGGGTCATTTAAATCGTATGTCGCCTGGGCTTTTTTCCTTAAATCCGCCACTGTTCATGATGACCTCAATGTTCAAGAAACAATATTTCATGGACAATAGAAATTCAAAAATGAAACATTTTTACCAATTTGTGACAATCATTTTATGTTTAAATGAAAGAAAAATGGCATATATTGAGATAAATAAGATATTTGGTTTTTTTTTTAATATGGAGGAAATTGACAATGAGATTTTACGTGAAAAATCAAAACAATTAGTAGCTATTTATAGTGAAGATTTAGAATCTAACCTCGAGAATGAGATTATTCAATTTAAAACTATAGTGAAACATTTTTCAGAAGAAGAAAAATTATCCATGCATAATTTGCTTGAAGCATTAACTATATCAAAATTAAATGATTCATTTCCTAACGTGGAAACAGCTTTAAAAAATTTTATATCCATACCATGCTCAAAAACGCTAGTGGGGAGAGATCATTCTCAGTTTTAAAGATAGTGAAGAACTACCAAATAACATCATTATCTAACGAAAATATGTCATCGTTGGCTCTAATGTCTATCGAAAATTGTATCCTACAAAGTATGGATTGGAATAATTTAATAAAAGAATTTGCTTCACAGAAACCTAGAAAAAAATTGTAAATTTTAATTTATGTTTATAAGATTATAATATTTAACTAATGTTTATAATGTTTATACTTACTAATTAATAGTTTTATGATATTAAAACTACCGATTTTTATATTACCGATAATATAAATGCTAAATATAAATTTATATGCTTATAAATATATATAAACTAAACAATTTTAACGCTGTTGTTATGTATGTTATTTTTATGATGGGTACAGGTTTGTAAAGGGCGGAATTTTAAAATTTGCCCTCCAGGCGGCATATTCGTTAACCCTGCACTGCTAGGCATACATACAAAATCAAAATATTTGAATCGACTAGTGTGCTATCCTGCGCAAAAAAAAGTTTTATTTTATAAAATAATTAAAATTATTAAAAAAATAAATATATATTTAAAGATGCATTAAGACCAAAATTCAAGTGTCATGAAAATAATTTCAAGGTTACTTAGCAATAAATTGAATAGCCCAATAAAATCATGCAAATGCAATACCTTCCAATCCCTTTATTATTATGAATAATGTTATAATAGAATATTAAATTATTACTATTAAAATCTGTAAGCACACGTTCAAAAGTTGGATAAAATCAACTTCACGGTATCTTATGGTTGGTGAGGTAACTTGTGATTTATTATATGATATACCTTGATGTAACAATATGGTTCAGTCAATCAGAGATAATTATTTTAGAAAACACGACACGGCACAGTGTAGTGTGAACCCGGCTTTATTTTGTAGAGTTGGAGGACCTTTCTTTTAAGACGGTAGTTTGTGATGTGCTGCAAGGTTAATAGATAATAATTATTATCTTTAAACCTTAGGTGTGCTCATGCGCGTGTGGAGCTTGGAACTGCAGTGATCTGCTCATGTGATATGTATTCTATTATCAATAATCATTGTTTAGCAATTTGTCAATCATCAATGTTTTTGTCTCATTATGTTCGGTGTTTTTTTTTTTATTATTCTTAGCAATTAGGTATTTTAAATAAGTAATTCAGAAATTATTTAATGTTTCATTATACATATTAATTCTAAAACTGATGTAGACACAGAAACGTATTTTTTTTTATTTTTTTTTAATAATGTCCGAAAATATTATCAAAAAAGATATAATAGAATGTTCTGATGATGAAAATTATGGTTTTAAACAAAATCAGGTGATTTAATAACAGGACCATTATTTTTCTTTTTTAACAATTTTCTAAAGAATCAATGAAGTCTTGCTCTTGTATTGTGTATTGTATGCACTTCACATCTCAAAATTAAAAATTAAATATAATTTAAACTAACTTTGAGTTATTCAGTTACAAATACTTTTATCTTGCATATCTAATTTCTATGGAAATCTTAATGAGTATTAGAAAAACAATTAACTTTTATTAACACTTGCCAAAACTATATGAAATAATTATTAATGATTAATAATAACACTGTAATTATTTATTCAATATTTTGTATTCAATGTTTATGTTGAAATCATATTTATTTTCACTTTTTTCCATTTAATTATTAAATTTTACAATAGTGCTAGATTATTATTGAGTTTGATTAAATTAATTTTTATTGTAGATGAACGAATGTTATCCAGAACCATCTGAAATATTTTCACTGTACAAAACATTGGAATCAGGTAATGCTTCATCTTTAAAATTAGAATGGATATGTCCTGGGAGAAGGGAATTAACTCCTGATGATAGTCAAGTTTCACAGAATAGTACCAATGATCTTTGTGATATTACGGAGTATGATTAATTTAATTTATATTAAAATGCATTTATATTGATAATTTCAAATTGAATTTTTAGTTCATTGGATCAATCAGATTTCAACTTTCAAGAAGATATATCACATATAGACCTAAATCGTAAAGATGGCAAAAAAGAATTGAAAGGAAGTGCTAAAAAAAGAACCACTAGTTTTAACACAGTTTTGTCTAACATGGCTAGACATCAGAAATTGGACAATATGTCCGACGAAAAATTTGATTCATTATAAATATTAAGAATATAAATTTAGGTAAATACATTTTCAATGTAAATAATTAGTACTTTTTATGGTCATATACCGTTTATTTCTTATTTTATTTTAACATAAATTAAAATTCAATTTATATGTGTTACATATACAAAATTACTTAACACTAATTCATATTTAAGATGAAATAACTTTTAAATGTTTCATTATCCAAAGCATAGAACATTTTTTTATGATTATTTACTTACAAATCTGATATAATCTAATGATTCAGTTGTATTTATTTATTAAAACATTCATTAGAAAATCTGATAATTAATGAATTTTTTTAAATCTTCTCTAATTTTCTTTTAATTTCTTATTTTAATATTTTATATATTTATATTCAGTTTATCTTACTGTGAAGAAATTATTAGTATATATTTTTATAATTTTTCAAGCAATATAGACACCATTTAAGCCCATTGCTTTTAATACCAAATTCTTCTACTCCTCTATTAAATAATGATTAATAATAATAATTTATTAAAATAAAATGAAATATGTACATGGAGATGACGAGTGTATTACTCCTCCCTAGTAAAACATTGTATTCATATAATATTTCTTCAAAATATTTAATAAAATCTTAAAAAACAAAAGAACTTCATGTTACTCAGTCAACTGTCAAAATTTGTAGACAGATGCTATAACTAAAATAACTATTTTATACATTTTATTTCTTGGTTTTTATTTAAAAACTGATTCAGGGTGAGAGAGGTCAGTTGATATTTCTAATTATGGTTGCTGTAGTAATAGAATAAAATGTAACTACCTTTATTAGGTAGATTGAAATTTTAATATTCTAATTTTTGCAAAAACATAAAAGTCATGAAAATAACAATTTCATTTCATTGAAAATTAGTATATTTTAAATTTTGATGTATTTTACAACTTTCCATTAGTTTTTCACTATTATTTAAAACATTTTCCTTATTCAAAGTTCCAATTAGACAAATTTTTTATTAAAAAACTCTTAAAATTGATAAAAGCAATTATTCTGATCAAAATTATATAAATAGACAAAAAATAAACAAATCTTCATAATACCATAACATTCCTTATTTTACTTCAATAAATTTAAATATTTTGTCTTAAACAAGTGATATAAGAAACTAAATAGTAGTAGAACTGAATATGTAATAGAAGTTTATTATAGTTTATATAGGTACATATGATCTTATTGGAATATTTTAAGGGTGGTCCTAAAATTTCCCAGGTTTAAAATTAAATATTCTGTCAAGTTTCAATTGATATCAAATTTTATATTAAAATTCATTATTTTATAATATTATGTCTTTCATACCTATTCCCTACCACGAAAAATAAAATACTTTTTTACTTTTAATAAATTAAACAAATGAAATTGAATTAAAAGTTTTTTATGAAATAAAAAGAAGTACCATATAATTTTATTTATAACACAAATTATAATAATAAATAAATTGTAAACAAATGTTTAATATAAAGATTTAATTTACAAATATATTTTTTATCTAGATATGTAAAGTAGTATTGTATATTTTTACTATTGGCTAATAAAAGATTGTGCCAATTGGATTATAAATTCAGTTACATAAGTTAACAGTTCTTTCATATTATTATTTTAACTTAGTATGAAAATAAAATATTTAAATATTTTAAAAAAAATTAATCTTTAAAAAATCATTAACTGAATTGTATTTTAGTAAAACATTAATAGATGTTTTACTTTATTATAATATTAATTTATAATATATTATGTAACATTGTAAAAAATTAATGGTATTATTAGTCATGAATAATTGGGTATGTTTCAGAGTTATTGAATAATTCAAATTTATCAATGGGTGAAAATAAATATTCTAGTGCTGTAAATCAAAGTATAGAGAAAAGCCGACTTGGATGTAGTGTATGTCTGAAAAAAAATACTAATGATACTTTGATTAATCATATTGATATTTCACCCAATAAACCATGGCGTGATAGAAATCATTTAAAAAATAATGTTAGCATTACAAAAAATGAAAAATGTATAACACTGTGTAAACCAACAATTAATGAATGTTATTGTAATCATATGGAACAATTAAAAAATGAACCATTCCCAAGACTAATATGTTCAAAACTTTTGAAAACTCCAAATCTTATTAATGTGGACAAAAAATGGTTACATGAAATAATTGAATTTAGACGAGAAAATTGGTTTGATTGTCATTCGGATTCATTTATTGATCCTATGTTTGTTCAAAATAATAAACCCTTTTGTAAGTTTATAATCATTATTTTTAAATTATAGTTATTTATAGTTAAAAATGGTTAAAAGTAAAAATTACATTTTGTATTATACTTTAATTTTAAGTTTATAACAAAGTGATTACATTATAAAATATATTATAGTATATTTAGTACTTAAATAAAATATTATATTTTTATTTTTGGTTTCAGATATTTCAAATAACCACTCACTCAATAGTAATCATCTAAATGATTTTAGATTTTCATGTCCTATTAATATTAGTAATTTTAAGACTGAAAATACTTGCACAGATTTCAATAGTTCTGCAAAAATAGGTAGCTACACAAATGTTGAGAAAAAAAATTCAGAACAAAAAGTTATTGGTATGTAATCAGTAATGAAAATAAATTGATAAATATGTTGTGTTATACATGTTGTACAGATATTAGAGTAAAAGTTAATTTTAAAAGTCTATCTTTAATTATTTTTAAAGATGTATGTGTCGCATCCAAATAGTGAAATCACTCATTTCATGAACTGGATGTCCAGATAGTGAAATTCGTCCAGATCATGAATTTTGACGAAAATATATTATATGGACATTCATTTCATGAAATGGACAATACTTATATTGTGCACTTTGTGTAATTATTATAAAACCAGATATCATAGTATTATAAATATACTTTTTTATATTGTTTTATGAACAAAAATATAACAATAATTATAGTCATAATAAATTATATCATATTACATTATATTTTTATTGTATTTTTTATAAACTATACTCGTACGTATATTATTTTTTATAAACAACAGTGTTACCTATGAAGTATTATGAAATATTTATAATACTTCATAACTATACCTATATATATGTTTCTTCTTTATTATTTATTTTTACACTATAATTGATTATGGCATTGACTGTTACATATCATATTGTTTTTAAAACAAGAACACCTACTTTATTGGCAAGGAGTTTTTGCCTTACACGAACAAGACAAAAATCCTTGCCCCCCTGAAATTTTTTTAATTATTTCTCGCACTGAAAATTCAACATTTTTATCAACTTGGTCAGTAGTAAGAAATTGAGTTGTTGATTTTTTCAAACATTCACTATTGAACCATCCTTTAATTAAACCATATTTTGTTTTCATTAAATTTTTTTTTTTTTTATTCAGTGATCACACAAATTATGTTTATAAATATCTAAATTGAAAAAAAATATATATCATAATATTATAATATTAATATAAATTTCGACAAAAACGTCTTTAATAGTTCTGAATAATTAACTAATTTAATATATTTTTTTTTATGTTGTGTGCTCTTTTAAGATAATATTTAATTATGTTTAATGGTATTTAATTTTTTTTATATTAAAAAAAAAAAAAATTGTTATAACTTATAACGTTTTAAATATATTATATTTTGTCGAAAAATATTTTTTGGAACCGTATTTTGTATTACTACTAAGTATACCATTTATAAAATAATAAATGCACGTACAAACTGTAGGCCCAGTACCTAACCTATAGTACGAAACTATAACGCATATATTCTTAACTTTTTCTGTGCCATAGACCCCTTTAAAGCATAAAATATAATCACGGACCCCCCCGCCCCCTTAAAAAAATATATATATATAAATAAATATAATTTTAATTACACGGCGACGGGTCAACTAAAGTGATAGATTTCCAAGTTAAATTGAAACGCTCCTTGGATCGTATTACCTTGTTATATTATTTTACGATTTCGGTAACTTTATAAGACGTATAAAATTATCATAATCTATGTTTTATATTCAAATACATTGTTGTATTTTAGACTCTGAAGTCTTTCAACAATTATTATTGTTATTTTAAAAACGCTATTAGAACAAATTTATTTTTGGCATATTTAAAAAAAAAACAGCCATTCCGTCAACCTCCGAGTAATCATTTACGGAACCCCAAGGGGTCTATAAACCCCCGTTTAAAAACCTACGCTGTAACGGGTGACCGTCGCGCCCCAGGTGACAAATTTCTGGCAGTGCTTCTAAGACTACATTCCCGCGTAAAATAATTTTAAAACCACGAGAGTTGTTATAAAGACTTAACTATTAATACTTTACGTAAAACTCATTATTTATTTACTATCACATGCACTAACAATTAATAATATTAATATTTCAATTTTTTACGCAATTTTATATTATGTAGGTACATTTAAAAACTAAATAATTAGGTAATGAAACTTAAAACTATTATGTATTATATTTACATAAAAAAATATTTTTCCAAATTGAAATATTCTGGTACTCGTCGTCATTTTTATCTTCACTTGGACTACTTTCGTCAGGATTAATAGTCAATATTATTGGTTCCAATATCTCATCCCTCAGTCCTGCCTTGACGAAGTCCTCCTCTTGAATTTTGACACAATGTTCTCCACATTTAGCCCAATCGTCCGGAGTTACTGCATCGATCTCTTTATATACAAGTGTCTCGATGTCTGCAATTTTGAATGTCGAATTTTTTCGGCCACTCTGCCTTTAACTTGTGCCCAAATAAGCTCTACTGGATTTTACTGACAGTGGTAAGGGGGAATTTTACCACTTACCACTTCATGACTCATTTAAAAAGTTAGATCATCCATTTTATATTTTTTTCCTCTCGGTATCGAATGTTTTACTTTTTCTCGTAACTTGTCAAGTAAATACCTGTCAGACACGCTCACTAAATGTTATTTGTTGAAAAACTTGGGAGTTACATAGGTATCCGTCAACCTTCATCCGATAAGGAAACATTAATTTGATATTGGATGTGGAATTACCGAAATTAAATTTTATTACTCCCATATAATATAGATCACGGATAAAACACTATTATCTTTATTAATATTGAAAAGATAGTATGTAAGCTATTTATTGCTAAATAATATAATAATTTTTTTTTATAATAATCACACAAAGTGAAATTGAAATGAAAATGAAGCGAAAATGAAATTTTCGTTAAAATTCACGATATGGATAAATTTCATTATCTGGACATCTAGTTCATAAATGAATGATTTCATTATGTGGATGCAACATATGTATAGATAATTGTTTTCATAATGATATTTAAATTTATAACTTGACTAACATAATTATAATTTTCAGGCAAAAGAAAAAAAATACTAAATAAACCTTGGTATCCATCATCAGTGCATTTTAAATTATAATTTTAAGTATTTTTTTTTTTTTTAATAATATGAATAGCACTGTAGAAATATCCATAATTTTACATTTTTTTTTCATATTTTACACGTATAACTTTAATTATAATATTTTATTGCTAAATTTATTTTTTATAAAGTATGAATAAATTTGCTATAGAAAATAATAAATAATAATAATAATAATCTATTGTAAAATATGTATAATAAAATAAAAATTTTAATTACTGAATCATTTTATAAATTACTCAAATAAAATATAATGCATTAATGCAATTTGTATAATAATTTCCAATGTTAACTTGTACTAATTTGGTCGTGAAGACGACCAACGCAACTCAACTTCTAGGCCTGGCGCATCATGGAAACTGGGCCATAAAGACGTTTAGAATTATATTTTGCCATAAGCACCTTTGTACAGTTAATTGTGAGACTAAAGGTATTTTAAATCAAAGTCTGATGTGGGACATTGATAGCACTCAAGTTTTGTTAACTACTACTAAATTACTTGTTTAATAAATAATGGGGGCATTGTGTATAGTTTTGTGATAAAAGATCTCGCTTGGTTTTTGGTTCAACCACTGAAAAAAAATTACACTACTAGAATAAAAAAATGATTATTGTATTGAATTTGAATGCATACATTAGTGTTAATATGGTGTATGTTTTTTATATGAAAAGTGCGAATTAATTTATGAAAAATGTGGATTAGTCTATCTATTTGCTAATGAAATCAGTAATATTTAATAGATTAAAAAAGTTAAAATATATACATTTTTGATTATCAATTGAAAACAACGAGTATTTGTTCATAGGCACAATTAGGGTAAAAAATCTGGGGGGGGGGGCTATAGCCCTCCAACTAAAACTTTAAATAACTTGTAGATTACCCATACTCTTATATACCATGTTAATATGTTTTAGATTTTGAGCTAAGTTGGATTTACTGTAGTGTCTTTTTTTTGTATGTGACACTATTGTGAATTAAGTATGCGATATGTCATGTATAACATGGAATATTTATGGGGGAGAGCTAAGCCCCCCCCCCAATCCCCCTCTCGTTATGCCTATGTATTTGTTGTTAAAGAGAAATAATAATTTGCTCAAGAAACTAGTATTTAAAAAGCCTATAATATATTGGTGTTGGAAGTTCGTTCCTTGTCCTTAAGATCCTCAGCAGTGACATACTAATGGAGGGAAGAAATCCCCCCTTGACATTCTTAGGAAAATTCAGGGGCGGTCATTTGGAATAAACCTATAGGGTTGGAACATTGGCAACCCAGAGGGAGGAGGGCTAATGAGCTTTAGCCCACTCCCACCCCCTCCCGCATTGACTGTGTGAATCTAAAAAAAATAAAACTAGTCAATATTTAACACCTTAAACGTTAAATACATAATACACAATAATATTATGAAATATTGAGCATAATTTACATAATTGACCCCTAGAACACGTGTCCTTAGAAGGATAAGTCCTAGTGAATTGTTCATAAGAGTTGATAAAAAATACAACGATCAGTGACTAAGTGGTATTTTGATTTTATATATATATATATATATAGATAGATTAAGATTATATTTTATTAATTTCTGAAAAAAACAATAAAATGTTACATTTCTCGTAGGGTGTCATAGCTATTAATTTGTTACCCCAATAAAAATGGTGGGGTAGCAATGACTGCCCTCACTACCCCGTAATGATGTCTATGGAAGAATTTATTTCTTATAAAATGTCATTTTTTGGTCAACAATAATGAAAAACTAAAAAATATAAAAGGATGGTAACGAAGATGCATTAAAAAAAAGCTTTCACTATTCAACAAATTCTTAAAACTAGAAGTTTTATTCTTGCAATGGACTTGATTCAAGACATTTTTTCTATTACCTACTCATCTACTATCAATCTATCCACTGATATTCCCACCCGTTTTATTAAGAGTATACTATTCTATCCAGTGTCTGAATATGGACATTTTCAGAGTTGAACTGGGTCTTTAAACCGGCCCGGGCTAAACAATTTTACCGGCCCTACAAAAGTGAAATTATTTTATATTCGTATTACAATAGAGGAAATGATCTGAAGGACACCAAATCCCCATTTTTATTTCTAAGTTGAACTTATTACATTAATTAAAACTTAATAGTTTAATTAAACGATAAAAAATTGTTAACCCTTTATTTAAAATAAAGTATTAAATGTCTACTAATCATTATACATAGATATAGACATATAGTTCTATAATAATTATTAAATAAAAATCATATATTATTATAATAGTACTTATTTTAAGTTATTTTCTATTTTCAAATACAATTCTTAGATTAAAAACTATTTTACTTACTAATTACTTACTAATTACTAATTGTAAACAAAAGAAAAAACATTACCAACGTTACCAACGTAGTACCTCTATAGGCTACATTAATTATGTATTATTATTATTATATAATTATGTATTAAAATATATTAATTATTTATTTATTTATCCAACTAGTAATTTTTTCATTAAGTTACTGCTTTGCGCAACATAATAAATTCTTCCATACGTTCTTGACTTAAATTATTTCTTAATCTGTTCAAAAATACTTTAACTTCCAAAACTTTCCTTCCCACTGAACTTGAGGTATAGATAATGTTAACATAAACTTGTATGCTAAAAACAATTCTGTATATGCTGTAGCATACAAATTATTTAGGTATCTACATCGCGGCCAAGTCTAGTTTATGCCTCATTCAGAAACTAACCAAGTGTTAAACAATACAAATAAAAGAGGAGTATTGCTCTTTAATGTAGGAGTGCAGTAAGGTTATGAATTAAAAAATACCAGACTTGGCCACAATGTAGATTTCACTACTTGGATAGGCCGACTTTTTTGGGAGGGAGTTTGGAACTCGGCCTTTTTTCACCGTTATGTTTTTTTGGAGATACAATAGTCTATTCGACTCAAGTCGCAACCCACACATACATCATATATTTTCTTATACCTATTCGATAACAAATATAAATATAAACCATCACGATTTTCATCAAAATATGTCTTTTTTAAATCTTTAATTTTTTTAAAATTGAAATAAATTTAGAATTACAACAATCTTATAAAAAAAATTTTAAATAAATTTAGGAATTAATAATCCATTTATGAAACCGGCTTCATTAACAATTTATAAGACCAGTCCACCGGACTTTGCTCAGTAGTCCGGTGGGCCAGTCCAACCCTGGACATTATTATTATTCAATCGGTGGTGGTGGAAAAAGGGGTTGTAAATATTTGACGAAATATCGAATTGCGTATATTTTTAGTTTTTACAGGAATATAAATCAAAATTATTGAAATAAATTGTTACCTACCATCGTAAGTACATAGAATACCATCAATAATTATTTCATAGTAATACACTGAGGGAAAACTATTTGTCTATTATGAAATATAGTTAATTTAATTAACTAATTAATATTATTATTTATTATTATAATTATTTATATTATTTTAATTTTGGCCTTATGTCTATTATGAAATAAGGCCAAAATCAAAACCTGTACCTGTATGACTAATTGAATTGATGATTGAAGAAACGAATCTTTAAAGATGTTTTTATACTCAACAAATAGAAAAAAATAACTAGTATACGTTTTTTACTAATATCTCAATCTTATACAATATGTGATTTGTGATTATTTTTACATTCATCCATTCAATTACGTATGATACTTTTTCGCGAAATGCTTGGAACTTGAGAGTATATGTAGTATAACCGTGCATTTTCAAAATAATGTTGATAGTAAACGGCGTACATGTAGTATGTCCTATGAGACAGTGGCATATTTATGGTGGAGGGATTTGGGGATTTCCACCACTCCTCCCAAAAAATATTTGAAAATGTCAAATTTTTAACATATCAGTAATATAATAATTTTAGTTTGTTTATTCAATAAAGTAGTAAAATGAATATATATATATATATAAATATATTAATATCACTAATAACATTGATTATAGAATAGAGAAATAAGACCTCAGTGTGTGATATATACTGCTGTGCTTAATAATGATGCTTTGATACTAGCAAAGCTACAGCGACATTTGCATACTATTCATTCTACACTTAAAAACCGACCATCTGAATTTTTTGAAGAAAAATGTAAAAGCTTAAAAAAAATGAAATTTGGACCAAGTAGGGCAAGTGTCGCATAGTCACAACAAGTACTAACTGCATCATTTGAAATCTTATTACACAGTATCGGCGAAACATTAATTAATCCTTGCTTAATATAGCTTCAAACATTTTCAGTGAAGATGCCAAGAAAAAGATTAAAAATATACCACTTTCCAATAATACAGTAAAGGCACGAATTGAAAAATATGTCATGCTATGTCGAAGAGTAGCTACTAGGTAAAATAAAAAGTTCCCCTTACTTCGCTCTTCAATGTGATGAAACTACTGACATTGCGCAATGTTGTCAGTTATTAGTTTTTGTGCGGTTTTTAGACATTGAGATAAGACCTTAAAAGAAGAGATTCTTTTCAGAAGAAACGGATTGTGTGAAAGAGGCCTAAGGGTAAAGACGGCATTGAGAGTATGCTTGGTTAAATAATATACTTGCTTACGAAATTTACGGTAATCCGGTAAAGGTATAATTTAAACCGTAAACGATGCATATCATTTTTCAACACACCGACACGACCTAGGAACAAGCATATAGGTCCTATATTATATGATGATTGCGTAGATCAACGTTTCTCAACCTATGGGTCGCAAAATATTTTTGATGGTTCGCTGTTCGTAAACTAATGACAATAAAAATATCTTAGTTATCAAAATATAATTATAATTAACTTCTTGTATTCAATTTAATGCTTGGCTTCACTTTACACTCGTCCCTGTAACCAACTAACCTCTTCAGTTTCATATAGTATGACAGTTCAGCATTAGAGATCATTTGCTCCACAAATGATGATCTCGAACGTCTTCGAGGTATTTTCTACCTTCAATTTTCCCTTCTATTATTTTATAAACTAGTTAATTTTAGTGCTTCAATATGTGATCAATTATG